ATTTAACCAACTATAGACCAATAGCTTTGTTGTCAAACTTTGCAAAGGTATTTGAATCTTCCGTCTACACAATTATTTACAATAATATCAAAAATATTATGTCTTCCCAACAACACGGTTTTATAAGCAAGCGTTCTACACTGACTAACCTTGCCGAATTCTCTCAGTGTACCTCCACATATCTAGATTCTAAATGCCAAGTTGATGTAGTGTACACAGATTTTTCAAAGGCCTTTGATAAGGTTAACTACGGAATTTTATTGAAGAAACTGGGGAACTTCGGATTTAGTCACTCTTTAATAAAGTTAATCAAATCTTATCTTTATAATAGAAAATTATTTGTTTGCTATAATGGATTCAATTCAAACTATTTTGTTGATACTTCCTCAAGGATCCAACTTGGGACCTCTTTTGTTTAATATTTTTATTAATGATTTATCTTTAGCTCTGTCTTGTCACCACTTACTTTTTGCTGATGACTTAAAACTTTTTCATAAAATATCCAGTACACAAGATAGTTTTTACCTTCAAGAGCAGTTGGACACAGTAGCTAATTGGTGCAATTTAAATGAGCTTTTTTTAACATTAACTAGTGCAAAATATGTACCCTTAAAGCTTTGCCTATTGTCTTTGATTATTTTATTAACAACTCTTTCATTTCTCGCACTAATACAATCAATTACCTAGGTGTCGTTTTTGACAGTAAACTTCCACTCTTAAACTTCTGGGTTTTATAAATCGTAACACATCTACTTTTAAAAATATCACAGCTCTAAACGCACTATATTGTCAACTTATTCGTTCTAGACTAGAATACTGCTCTATTATTTGGTACCCATGCTATCAATCTTAAATAAATATACTTCAAAATATTCAAAGACGTTACCTTAAACTGATTTCCTATTGTACAGATAGAGTCTACCACACCCCCCCCCCCCCCGTGGATTTGATCATAGCATTTTACTCGCAAGGTTCCATTTTAATTCATTACATGTTAAGGCAGGCAAACAAATTTATTTAGAGAAAGAAGTGGGGCGACATTAATAAGTATCCTCAAAAACAAAGAAATTAGTGGAAAGTACAAAAACTTTGTTCGAATGTCTTCCACTGATTTTGAATATCTGCTTAATTTAATTGCCCATTTTTCGTTTGCATTCTTCGGTTGTTGTTTTTAACTCGTCAGCCAGTTGCTGCCAGGCGTCATGTTTTTTTAATTTATTATAATGTTGTGCATCCTGAGAATCCCATAATATTGGTTTATTATGGTACATTTCAATAAAAAATAATAAAACTTTGTCTTGAGACCACTCCATTATATAATTATATTAATAAATATCACAAAATAATAAGGCGGGCAAATATCGCAAAACCTCCCGTCTCGTCAATCGATGACAACTAAATAGGTAAATGCAACTTGCTCGGAATGAATCAAAAAGGCGCGCACTGACTTGTAATGTAACAATCAAAGGGATTCGCTAAAAAACCGACACTCAAGTGGAGCACGGATGCTCCGTTCGCCGCTCGCCATTCGCGTTCGCTTCGCGCTCGTTTATAGGCACTGACTTTCGAATGTTCGTGTTACATTACATTACAACGTTCAGTTGAAAGTCAGTGCCCGCCTTTAGAATACAAGTTTCAAGCATTAAGTTTCTTTTTAAGTTGTTTAATAACAGGATCGATTCTCCTTATCTCCTGTCGCAAATTAACATTTTTGTAACAAGATTGGGTTTACAGAGACTTTATTTTATAACACAAACGCTAGAACAAATATTTTAATTAAGTCCCTAATACATGTTATGTGTCAAAACTTTAACCAAATTTGTAATTTATGTGATTTGTTTAATGATGGTTTTAGAAGTGTATCTAATACAGCCATGTTATTTTTTTCCTTTAATACTTAAAACTTTTATTTTGTTAATTTGAGGAATAGGTAAATGATTTATTTTTTGTTATTATAAACACTTAATGGTGTTGTTATTACATATTATGTTGTCCTGTAATTGGAATTATGTATTATGTTGGGCAATAAATGTTATTATTATAAGTATAATAAGAATAAAATTCAAGAAAAGCAACAAACATAATTAATTTTATGTAAATTGTTTTAGGTATTAAAAGCTTTGTTGTGCAGACCGCAAATGAAAAGCAGAAATTGGATATTAAAATAGCCAAATTTTTTTATGGCTGTAACATAGCATTCAATATAGCTGATAAAAAAATATTCAAGGACATGATTTGCGCACTGAGACCTGGATATGATCAACCTAGCCGCAAAAAAGTATCAGGAGAGCTGTTAGATATAGTTAATAACGAAATAGAAGAAATCCTGAAAAGTTAGCTCAGTGCTGAAGACGTTAGCTTTACAATGATGCAGGATGGATGGTCCAGTATTAGGAATGACCCTATAATTGCTACGAGTATTCATACTAGCGAACATAGTATATTGATTGATGCTGTGGAGCCTTCTGATGAAAAAAAAACTGATTTGTATTGTTCTCAAATAGCTAAGAAAAATATTGAATATATTAAAGAAACCTATAATAAAGATGTGTATTTATGTTTTATTTATTAGAAAAAGAGGTTACACCCAAAACAGTTACCAAGCACATCATTAAGGTCCACAAATATTTTAGAAATAAACATTTACTACATGGGTGGCTTAAAAAAAAAAAGGGTGTAATGCCTTAGCTACCCAATGAAACCCGTTGGAAATCACATGAATCCTGTCTTGCAACATTTATAAGCAACTATGACATATATGTTGAAATTGGGACAGAGAAGGAGCAAGAATTTGATAAAAATATCTCCAAAATATTAGATAATGTCGCCATATATAGAGAAGCTCTGTATTTGCAAACTTGCCGTTATCATGAAAGCTCTAGACAGATTTCAAAGCGATTCTGTAAACATTTCTGATGCAGTAGAAATATGGAAAGATGTCCTCGTGGTTTATGGACCCAAGAAAATCTTATCCGTGCCGTCAAAGCTGTTGAAAATGGTTCCTCTATAAGAAATTCATCTATGAATTTTGAAATTCCAAGAAAAACTTTGGAGAGACGAATAAAAACTGGCAACATGGTCAAAGGTAACATGGGCCCCGATAGTAGGCTTGGCAAAGCCAACGAACGTAGACTTGTTCGTCATATAAAAGACATTGCAAATCAAATTAAAATCGAACACTCTTTCAATCAACGCGAGAAAAAGGCTGGATACGATTGGCTAAAGCTATTTTTATCCAGAAATGCTGATTTGTCACTGAGAAAATCGGAGGGCGTTTCAACTTAATCACGTTCACGCAATGAATTGCGATGAGGTAAAACAATACTTCGAATTGTTAGAAACATGTCTGGGAGAACATGAACTATATAACAAGCCCGGGCACATTTTTTAACATGGACGAATCAGGGCTACCTCTCAACACCCGTCCAGGGGTTGTATCATACAACTTGTATGAGCAGCAAAAGGTTCAAAAAACGTGTCCAACATTACATCAACGGAAAGAGGTGAAACGATTACACTTATAGCTTGTTGTAATGGGGAAGGAAATTTTTTACCACCCGCCTGCGTGATGAAGGGTAAAATAAAAAACATAAGTATACAGATAACATGCCTCCTGGGTCTGTTCTCTACATGTCTATAAAATCAGCATATGTGAATAACATTATTTTTCTTGAGTGACTAAGAGATCATTTTCTACCAAGGAAACCAGATGGTAAAGTTCTCTTAATTTTGGACGGCCACGCATCTCACTCCAGTTCTGTTGAAATGCTTGAATTTGCATACTTTTGCTGTGTCTTCCGAGCCACACAACCTCCAACCGCTTGACAGGACTGTATTTAAGTCTGTAAAAAATCACTTCTGCGCTGCCTGCCAACTTTGGATAAAAGGCCATCCTGGAAGGCGTATCACTCGCTACCAGTTCGGTGAACTTCTTCAATAATGCTGGGGAAAATCTGCTACCCCTGAAAACGCCATCGCTGGATTCAGAGCTACAGGGATTTATCCTTTTAATCCCAATGCGATTCCTGACTACGCCTTCTGTGTAGCAGATAATAATGCAAGTCCCCTGGAAGACGAGGAAAGACAAACAGAACAGGACAACATCGAAAATACAGAACCACAACCGAGCACGTCAAAGCAATCTAATAAGACCGTGTCCCCATTTACAAAAGTCATTTCCATAATTTCATCTGTTCCAAAACTGACTGAAATGGTGCGTAAACGTCGTCAGAACATGTTGCTAAATCAAATTAAAAAAAGATAAGAAACTACTAAAAGGTAAAACTACTGTAAAAAAAGTAAAAAGATGAAAAATAAATCGCCATCAAGTAGTGACAGTAAAAAAGAAGAACCAACATTTTGCAATAGTGAATCTGAAAAAGAAGATTTTGGTGAGAATGAGTGTGTTGACTGTGGTGAAGAATATGAGTGTACAACAAAAAAGATGACTGGATTCGTTGTGTAAGATGTGAGTTTTGGCTACACGAGTCCTGCACAAAATATGTAGATCTATGTGACAGGTGCGGAAACAGATGCTTGAAAAATGTGAAATGAATATTTAAGAAGATCTTAGAACACGTAAAAGAATTTTTTTTAAATGTGTAATCTAGATTTAGTTTGTTGATAAAATCCCTATGATTTAAGTAAATATATTTACTATTTTTTTATAACTCTGTACATAAAATGTAATACTATTTTCAAGGCATATTATAAAGTTTTTTTAAAAAAACTACATTTCTTACTGTGGCCAACTATCCCATAGTGATTTTGCCATCTCCCCCATGGTATGTGGGAGAGATAGCCAATTGTTATTATTCAAAATTTTGCAAAATTTTCGTAATACGTTTACTTATAAACATATTATATTTGGTTCATTTTATGGGCAAGATGTACCTGAACATTTTTCTCTTTATGATATTTAAGCCAGAACTACTATCAAAAATGTTTCTTTATGGCCATCTATCCCGGAGTTACCCTAAAAATAAAATCAATTTACAAACATGAGTGATGGACGCAAAAAAATGAGTGGATTTGAGTATCGGAAGCGCGCTTTGAACAAAAGTAAAAAGGAGCAAGAGGTTTTGAGTAAAACTCCCAAGCTAGATAGTTTTTTTAGGAAGAAAGAACGTGTTACACTAAAATCAGAATCTATAAATATCGATTATACGAACTTCTATCACGAAGGTTTGCCGCGACAATCTTGCTAAGTTCCATACATTTCCGAGTATAATAATGAAATTTTGACAGGTGATGATGTAAGTTCTACTTCATCTTCAACTGACATCAAAACTGACAGGATCACGACTTCTTTGCCACCATCGAATATCAATCATGAAGGTGAACTTCAAGCTGCACTCTCAACAAGAACTATAGAAGAGGTTGGAAGGCATTGTGATAAGCAATGATCCAGAAGAATGGGTTATAAAGGATTTCACCAGAGATTATGTCGCTACCCATGGGTGTAAACAAAAAAAAAGTCAAATCAGCGAAATATTACGCCATTATAGTAGATTCCACACCTGATATATCTTACGTCGACCAACTTTTTTGTTCTCAAATATTTGAAAAAAGATGGAACGCCGATTGAACGTTTTCTGATGTTCATTGAAAACTCTGGACATAAAGCTGAAGATTTGCTAGTTGCTGTATTATCTACTCTTAAGTTTTTTATCTTAATCTCGCAGACTGTTAAAGTCAGTCATATGATAACGCGAACAATGTATCAGGAATTTATTCAGGTTTACAGGCGAGAATTAATGAAATTAATAATCTTGCAGAACATGGCTCTTGTGCTGCTCATTCTATGAATTTAGTTGGAGTTCACGCAGTAGAATGCGCGCCAGAAGCTTCTTCTTTAACCAGTTTTACAATCTCATACTGAAAAAAGAATTGCGTAAAAATCTCTATCTGCAACCAGATGGTCAGCTCGTTATAAAGCGGTTTAAGTACTCAATCAACATTTCAACGAAATAATTGAGACTTTGATTATTCTTGATTATCGGAGAAAATGCAATTACATGACAAGAAGCTAAAGGTATTATAATTCAATTGGAGCGACCTGAAACAGCATTTATGCAGATACTTTGGCATTTTGTACTCTCAAGATTTAATGCTGTTAACTAAAGATTACAAAAAGTTAATTGTAGCATTGCTGACGTGATTGATATTATCATGGCTTCATTATAGTTGTTGCTGATAAGCGAAATGAATTCAAAATCAATGAAAATAATGCCTTAAAAATTTCTGAAATGCAAGAATATAAAACAACAGTTTCTAGAAAAAGAAAGAGAAAATTACATGCTGATGAATCACGGGATGGAGATGTACAAATGTCAGATCGGGACCATTTTAGAGTTAATACTTGTAATGGCATTCGTAATAATCTGGATTCCGAATTGCAAAAAAGATGTGTAGCATATGAAAAGATTCAAGAAATATTTTCGGTTATCACCGTGGAAATCGCATATCGAATATTCATTACATTAGCTGCAACAAACTGTAGAGCAGAACGAATTAAAAACTACTTACGCTCTACAATGAGTGCAAATAGACTTAATAGCTTAGCTTAGCTATTCTATGCATCGAATCAGACGTACTTCAACGTTTAGATTGTGAAGATTTAATCGAACAATTTGAAATTAAAAAAGTAAGGCGTGTTTGCCTGTGTAATACAATTATGAGTCGCCAAAAAGTGCCCAGGGGCGGCACTAAGTTTAAATCCGGCCCTGCATGAACATCGTTGTTCCCACAGTATTAATAGAAAATTGAATTAAATTTCTATGTACTTATAAAAATGAAAGCAATAAATCTGCTCTAAAATCGCCCAAAGACATTCATCCTTCGATGTTTAATCACTGCACTAGAAGATCAATCAACTATGCCTTCAGAAAAAGTGAATTCTTAGGATTGTTTATTCAAATGGTATGAATTTCTAACAAATACACAAACATATTAGTGTTCTAGGATAAACCTAATATTAGAAAACATACAATTTTTTTAGCATTGCAAGCATTATAGGTTTTGTAAATAATATAAGTTTAGTAATAACAAAACAAATTGAGTAGACTGAAGCGTCCCTCGAAACATTGTTATTATTTATGACATTACTAGTTACACCCTAGCCAGAGTTCGGAATCCGAATATAGGATTCTACGTTTATAGGTCACTTAGTAATGATAACATTGGTTATTCCACTGAAGGTATATGTACCTATAATATGTGAAGTATTATTTTTTTAACTGTAGTCTCACAAAATTTTGAAATTATGAATTATTAATAATCATGACTGTATAATTATACAGTTACATTTCAATACTTTAATTCAAACTTATTACATAATACTAACTTACAGACGTTTGTATTAAACCGATATCCTTAAAATTGGGTTACACATATAAAATTAAAAATTAACCAAATTAGAGAGAATATTGTTAAAGGGTGGATAGGGGTTGGTAAATAAAACAGATAAAATAGTATTTTAAACACACGACATTTTAGTACATTAGGATCAACCTAAAATATTGAAAAATTTAATTGATTTCAATTTTTATTATTAAACAATAATTATTATTGAGAATAGGTTGTTGAAAATTAAGTCTTTGAAGTGAATAGCTCTAGATTAAGGTGGGGGCTATGGCCCCAGTTCCCGCCACGTTAGTATTTAAAAGAAAGATTAACAATAAATATTATACAGGGGTGAGAATTCGTGAAACGGATCACTGTTTTCCCGACTTTGGAAATTACAAAAAACAATTATTAGTTTTTGTAGTACTCATTGATAGTAAAATATTCCCAAATTAAAAAAAATATATAAAAACAATTGTAAAAGTTATTTAAAAAAGAGCGTTTTTGACGATTTTTTTTCGAAAATCTCTCATGGGAATAAAGCCTTTTAATAAAATTTTACCTTTATTGAAAATTCTTCAAAACTTATCAAATTTTCATAAAAAATATAATTAAATTAAAAAAAAAAATATTTTCATAAAAAAAAAATTATTTATAATAAACAATTTGCATTTTTATAATTTTCTCAATGCTCTTTTAGAAAATCGTATTAATTTATATTTTCCTTAAAGTATTTCCAATAAAAAACTAAAAAAAAAAAATTGGATTCCTAATTAAACGATTAATGACATTTGATTTTGTGAGCCGGCGCGACTTTTCTGGCCCTGGCGCTCGAGCTCGCTTCCGACGCGACCCGTCCCATTGCGATGCGTACTTTATTATCAATAACTCTCCTATACTATACTATCAAGTACTTGTAATTTAAAAATGATTTTGTAAGGCTATTAAATGTACACAGGGTGTATCACTTTCGATGGTTGGTTAGACGTTTATGGAGAACTTTATGGAGAACGGCAAAAGATATCGAATTGAAATTTTTATAGGAATTATAATATCATTTAAACTATTTTTCTAAATTTTTTTGAACAAAATCACTCTTCCGGTTTTAACAGAAGCAATAATAAAACAGCAATAAATTTTTTATTCTCAATGGAACGCCCTGTATATTTTTACATAATTAAATATGAAATTATAATACCTTTTCATTGATTGATTGAACTATTCCCGATACCTAAAGTTAATATTAAGAAAGATATTTTATAATTACCCTAATAATATGAAGAAAAACTAATAAAATGTTGCTCACGTGTATTAATTTGGTATGAATAACAAAACTTTCCCGATATTTATTATTATTAAAATAAAGGAAAATAACCACTCAAAAGAAGTTGATAATATTATATTATGTATTAAGTTTTATAAACGGCATTTTAGTTACAAGTTTTATTAGGCACGAGCGAAGCTTGCGATCGAGTGTTTAATAAAAACGAGTGCCTAGAGAAGTTTATAAAACGAGTTGCATACTATACTTTATCTACGACGAACAGAAATAAGAATTTAGAGACAATTTTATTTCATAAAATTTGACATTTAACAAATTTAACCTCACTTTTTCGCAATTTATAATAGAGCCAACTTCAGCCCAAAAGCCACTGTTATTAACTTCAGCCCGTGACTAAAATGCCATAAAGTCACAATTCGTCAATGTAGGAGTAGATAAAAATATTTATTCTTAATGGATAACCAAATTAAAGGTACAACATACAACAAGTTTCTGCATGTTATAGCAATAAGTTTTTCATATTGTCCATGAAGAATGAACAACTTCATCAAAACTTCATTTAAACTATTTTATTAACAATTTGTATTAATTTAAAACATTATTTTTATTTAGTTAATGAATTTTTAACCTTATTAGTAAATAATAATATACTTTTAATGAAGGTACCGGGCTTTCAATCAAACCGTTTATACACATACCTACATAGCGACATATTTATTTTTTGTTTTGTTGCTTTTAAAAAATATATTGTTTTTATTAATATATTATTTTCTTGTCATATGAATGCATACAGTTTTTGAAAACCCATTCGTAGACTCCACTTGTATTGTTTAATAACACTGTGCGACAAATTTTAACCTTACAATTTGAACTGGGATGAAATGTGGAAAAATCGAATCTATGCAACCCCCAAAACTAATCTTTAAAGGGGTTTTGCTAGTTTAGCTCGAATAATGGAGATATATAAAAGCCCCTAGAACTTAAAAAATATGAATTTTATAGAAAAATGCTCGGACACGTCGATTTTTATTTTATATTACGCAATTTTCAGTTGATTTTGAAATTTTTATTTTTTCACAGATTCACCCCCAGCCACCCCACTTTTTTTTTAAAGAAAACCGACCCTTTGTTATACCTTAAATAACAGGTAATGTAAAGGGCTTTTTAACGGTATATTCGTTAAATATTGTAAACATTAAACAATCAAATATATTTAACTTTTATAATATACAGGACATCTTAAATGGAATTAATTTGAATGTTGCACAGATTCGATTTTTGCAATTTTTTTTAAAAAAATTTAATAATTATCTATTATTTTAGGTATAACAAAGGGTCGGTTTTCTTAAAAAAAAAAGTGGGGTGGCTGGGGGTGAATCTGTGAAAAAATAAAAATTTCAAAATCAACTGAAAATTGCGTCATATAAAATAAAAATCGACGTGTCCGAGCATTTTTCTATAAAATTCATATTTTTTAAGTTCTAGGGACTTTTATATATCTCCATTATTCGAGCTAAACTGGTAAAACCCCTTAAAAGATTTGTTTTGGGGGTTGCCTAGATTCGATTTTTTCAGATTTGATCCCAGTTCATTTTTTGTGTTGCACAGTGTAATTTAAAACTAATATTTAAAAATTTTAAATATTAAATAATAGGAATTGTAAAATATCATTGTTATTATTAACTTTAGGTGTAGGGAATAGTTATATTAATGAAAAGGTATTATTTTTTATTTAATTATGTAAAAATATACAGGGCGTTCCATTGAAAATAAAAAGTG